CGAATGTTCAACCCAAAAATAATACAAAAAAGGTGAAAATCACTAAAAATAACCTAAAATAACATGAAATATCAGTTTGCTATAAATTGCGGCAAAATTATGCGATTTTGACGCAAATTGTGTAATTCCGTGCAAAGAACCTCAACTAAGCTTCTATTGAACCTAAATGATGTTTACCATGCCTTGATAATCATCCAAGCTTTGATTTGCTTGTTGTATGCTATTTTCAGCCCAGATCTACTCAATAAGGCCATTTAAAGCTTCACGCATCTTCTCAGCTCTAGCTTGCGTGACCGGACCTCCTTGGGTGTGTAATGGATCACATGACGTAGTAGATATGCTGTTGTCTTGATCCCATCATACATATTTGTAAATGATGAATTTTCTTGTTGAACTCCGACATGGTTTTGTCTCCAATATGGTCATGATTATTGATGCTCGCTAGTGGGAGTTTGCAAACACTAGCACATGTTGACATGTATACCTATAGGACCGGTTCATCCTATATTCCAGCCAGTGGGATAGTACACTAGTTATTACTAATGCCTGCCAATGAGAGTTTGTTAAACACTGGCAATGACTAATTGAGGAGACTACTACTGAGTTTTATTTTGCATTGGTGGTTTATAACCGAGATATTTTTCCTTCTAGTTATGTCTTAAATTGTTTATTTGGCATACTTATATTTTAAATAAGAGCTACCCATATTTTTACTTACTGAGTTATCTCACATATTTTTTCCTCGTCCATCATTTTAGGTAGTGAGATCCGAGATGTGAGAAACCAAGGGGAGTGATGAGCTAGAAGGCTAGCCATTTGTATTTCGGACTTAGGTTATCTTGGAGTTAGGCTAACCACTTGTATTTTTGGACATAGATTTGGAGAAATAGATCATTCTTTTCTAAGCTAGATTTTATTTTGAGATATTGATTTAAGTTTATGTGGATTGTTTAGTTATGAATTTAATAAGTTACGAGTCTTGTGCATTTGTGGGATTCTCTCACAAGTGTACGACATCTATTTCGCTCTCGGTTTTGAGGTGTGACACATTTAATGCATTTATTTCTATTTTACCCTCATTTTAAAAAGATAATTATAACATATATTAAATAAAAAGTCTTATTTAAGTGTACTTAATTTAGGATAAATATGCAATTTTTTCAATAAATTATTGTATCTCTATTTCATTGGATAAAAAAAGACTAAATTTACTAAAAATGAACAGAGGGAGTATTCAATTTTGACCAAACTTAGAGTTTTCACTTGTGTGTTAGTTTTTTTGCAATTCATAACTCAATTCCAAAGGTAAATATAACAATCAAACATAATTAAACACAGTAGCATTACTTTAACTCTAATAAAACAAAAAAAAAAAAAAAAAACCCCAACTCGAGATATTAGACATTGTTAGAATAAAACCTGAGGGCAAAGAGAGAAAACACTTCTTGTTAACGGGCTCTAAACTTTAAATACCAATTTCATCCCTTATTAGAAGTAAAGAGAAGTACAAGGTTCAAGTATTAAAGAGGAGACTCAACAAATATTTTTGTAAAAAGACCTAAAAAACAGAATATAAGAGAGAAATGGAGAAAAAATTAATAGATAGAAAAATAGGGGAAAAAATAGGCAGAAGGTGCAATTTAGTTCTTCTACTTTGATTGTTGTGGCATGTCAACTCCTCTACTTAAATCTAGTGCAAATTGACCCTCCTATTAGTCGAAACCCATAGATCATCCATTCTGTTAATGATGACGTAATTTTCCATGAAAATCTATTTTGCCCAATTAATCTCCACTTAGTTGGCGCTGATTAAGTGTGACATGTCAATTTTTTATAACATAGCTAGGATTTTTTTTACTTTTAAGGAAACAACTACATCTAAAAATTTACTGTTAAAAACAAATAATAAAATAATTTGTTGTTTAGTTATTCAAATTGCACAAAACTGCAAAACATAGACTCTTAGATTGAGGAAGACACTCATTCAAAGGTTCATATTTGCAATCTGATATAGTCAAGATTGAAACACTTTTTTGATAATAAAGTATAAAAACAATACTTTGCCTCTAATAAGCTACAGTAAATAATAATATTATTATCAAGTAATTTGCCAGTTGTCTATCTGACTCTAAATAAATTATTTGTTATGGTCAAGTTTGTAACAAAATTACAAACAAAAAAGAGAAAATGAAACCTTTCAATCTTGTACAACATAAAAAGGATGTTACTTAAAATGCTAAATTCTATGGTTAAAGCCATGTTTTTGCTGACAACCAAGTAAAAATTGGTGGTATTATGATATTGTCAAAACCAACACAAATGTGAATACATCTACATAAAACTCAATTTCAAAAATAATGTATGAGATTAGAACTAGCTTTGGACAATCACTTCCCTAAATTTAAAGGTAAAAATAAATCCAAAAAAAAAAAAGAAAAAGAAGAAATGGCATAAAGATCAAAGCTCGGCATGATGAAGTGTTTGGGAGTCATCGATGATGAAGTTAATGGCCAGAGATGGAACAAAGATAGTGAACAAAGGGTTTGTTGAAGGAAAGAATTGGTGGAGGGAGAAGATAAAAAGATAATTATAAAATCTAGCAACTAAATGCCCTCAAAACTAAAAGAAATTATAATTCTTGAAAGTTATGCCAACCGAAATGTTTGCCAAACTAAAAAAACTACAACCCTTTCATGAAGAGTTGCCACCCTCTCACAAAATCATATCAACCAAAATACCCTTTAAATTACAAAAAAAAATTATTATTATTATTATTATTTTCACTCTATGAAATTTTAGAAAGAAATAGAAATAAAATCAAACCTAAATATAATAAAGAGGGTAGTACTCTCTCTTCTGTTATTGTCTCTCTCTAAAATCTATCTTTCAGATGTTCCTATCTCTCTCTAATGGAGACATAGGCATGGCAAGTTCATGTGAGGGGAAGTAAATTTGTTAACTTTGAGGGTTAGAAATGACAAATTTATATGAAAGTTAATGCGAAAGGAACGACGAGTTTATGGCAAAACTTATTGTTAAACCCTTGGACTTACTTCATTTTAGCATATCAGCCTCTGAACAAATAAACGTTCATATAAACCATTGAACCACTAGATTTAGGCAAATAAGCCCCTCACCTTATGGCTATCGTACTCCCCGTCAATTTCCACCAACTTTACAGTTAAAAGAAACAGTGGTGATATTGAGACTGACATGGAGTTTAAAAAAAAAAAAAAAGAAAAAAGAATTATTGTAACTTAGTTCGTAGATTAGTCAAATTTTGAAATATAATTAATATACTTTAATTGTTTTAACCAAAACTGTAAAAATTCTAGAACATAAAATCCCAACCAATATTCTAATTTGACAAAACACAATTGAAAACTTATTCCAAATTGGTTATACCCAGTGCCAAAATAGTTATTACTTAAAAATGATTATATGTAGAATATAAGTCGGTTTTGGCAAAAAAAAAAAAAAAAACCAAAGAAGCATATAAATAGGCTGTTGCAGGAAGGATTAACGTTGAAGAATTTTAAAATTATCATGCTATTGTTTAAGACACATGAGAGGAAATGATCACCTAGATGGTGGGATGAGAGAACTGGATATAATTTTGGGATGAAGATTTGAAACCGATTTTTGCAATTATAACATGAGAAAAGTTGCTGTAACATGCATAATTATTTTTATAGAGATAAGAACTTTCGTTCAACATTAAGGAACATAAACTTTTCCTTTAATATTATTGCTCAATTGGAATTTTATCTTCTGCGAAAATATTTAAAGTTGAGAAATTAATTCTATTTCAAATTAGACTAATCTGGGGACTAAGTTATAATTATTCACTTTTCTTTTAAGCTCACGTTAGTCTGATTAACGCCCCTATTTCTATTAACCTTAAAGTTAACGGAGAAGTTTGTTGAGAGCTTTATTTGCATGCATCTAGCGGTTCAAGGGCTTATATGCGTCCTTATTTGTTCAAGGGCTAATATGTTAAGGGGTTTAATATTGAGTTTAGGGGTTTAATAGGGTGAGTTTAGGAGTTTAATATTGAGTTTTGCCCAAGTTTTTGGGAATTTTTTTTTTTTTGACTTTTGGGGCAGTTTTATAAGTGGCATGTGTCAGCCTTTTATTGGATGGAAGATTTTTTACTTTTAGGGGCAATTTTGTAAGTGAATGTGTAATTTTGTAATTTGCTTCATTGCTTCATTTCTTAGGTTTATTTTTTAAAAACTAAGCCTTTTGTCCTTGAGAAGTAGAAATAATGTTTTCTTTTTACAAAACTAGGGCATTTTCAGGCTTTTACGCTTTAAGATGTCAGAAAATCCCAAAACAACCAATTAGCTAAAGGATAAGTAAGAATATGGGGAAAAGGTAAGAAAACCTAGCCTTACAAAAGAGAAGCTCTAAAAAGCAAGGAGAAAAGGGAAGCAGGTCAATTGAAAGAATCAAGGAGAAGGGTTCAGAGTAGACCTATAAATAGGTTGGATTGGGTTATTTCGGATCTTGGGTCGTTCAGATTGGGTCATTTTGAGTGTCGGGCTAAGGAAATTGAGCCATGACCCATCCACACGGGTCTTGGATTAGGTCGGATGAACCCAACTTTTAAAAAATTAAAATTAAAATTAAAATTTTTCTATATTTTTCTATATTTTTCTTTAACAAAATCTAATACTAATTAACTATTTAGTTAAAAAAACTTTGTTAAATGTTAATTTCCATTTCAGAATTCAATTTTTTTCCAATCTCAAGAAAAGAAAAGGAAAAGATTAGTGATTATATAGGTGGAACTAAAATATATGTCAAATTTATAATACTTATACAATATTTAGAATTTATAATTTCATAAAGATATTAATCTTTATTAAAAGAAAAGACATGAAAGATTAAAGTTCAAAAGACAAATCCAATATATATATATATTAATATCTAGTGCCTATTCAATATTTATAAGAGTATTATAGAAAAATATAGTTCTATTCAATATTTAGGAGGGCATTATACAAAAAATATAGCCCTATTCAATATTAAAGTTTAAAAGGTAAATCCAAAATGTGTCGAACCAAATACAAGAAGAGATTGGATCAGAATTGATTTTTATTAATTAGGAACAAATTATTAATTAAGAATAAATTAGCAACTAAGAACAGATCTTGATGTTCTTGATATTCTTGTCTTTGTACTTTTAATGGTTATGAGGGTACCTCAACCACTGGGTTTTGATTTTTAGTAAGCATTCTTGCATTTTATTTTTAAAAAATGATCTTTTTTACAATATCATATGACATAACTCACTATGTGCTACCTAATTTAATTTTTTATGCAAGTTCCATGAAAGAGAAGGATTAGAGAGCTTGAGATAAAGAAGGAGAGAGCGAGAGTGGAGAAGAGGAAAGGTTGAGAGAAAGTGAAATTGATGAGAGGTTAGGGTTTAAGTATTTTATTTATTTTTACTTTTAAAATTAGGAAATTAGAAATTTAACATTAATTAATAAGTAATCTAATAAAAATGAATAAAAAAAGTTCTGGTTATTTCGGGTGACCCGACCCATCTGTGACCCAACCCATTTGGGTTCAGATAATTTTAGTCCGGGTTACTTCAGATTTTAGATTAACACATAGAACCTATGACCTTACCCATAACGGATGGGTTGGATCGGATTTTTGGATTGGGTCTAATTTTGCCAGGTCTAGTTCAAAGAGTGAAAGAATTCAATAAAGAGGGTAAATAATTAAGTAGTGTTCTCTTTCTACATTTTTTTTCCTTTGTTTGATTTGTTGAGAGGTGTTTTCTTTAACGGCTTTTTGGGTATGTTTATGGGAAGCAAAAGGGAAGATTCAATTAAATTTATTTTTTGGTTTTTTCATCTTTGTTACTTGGTTTTGGTGCAAGTTCTAAAGGGAATCAAACTGATAGTGAGAGGCAAGGGGAAGATGGCAATATAGGTGGAGTAAGAAGTAATTTAATTAAGAGTGTATTCATCATATACATTAATTTGTATTGAAAAATAAGATTTGACTTCAATTTTATTAATTGTTTAATTAAAATATTTCTCTGAACATTGATATTGAAAATAAAGTTTACTTTCATAATTTTTCATACAAATTAATGGTGAAAATATGCAATAAATGCACTTTTAACCTATGAGGGTGCAAGTTAAAAAAATTATAAATAAATGCATTTTTTTTTCTACTAAACCCCCTTATACAAAAACCACATTAAGCCTAACAAATCAAGAGTTAAGTAACATCAAATCTTATAAGAAGGAAGTTCTTTCAACGTTTGTCTTTCCATCGACAAGACTCAAACTTGAAAGCTTTTTGAAGGGGAATTAAGCTTGTTTATTAATTGTTTAATTAAAATGTTTTACTTGACATTGATATTGAAAATAAAGTTTACTTTCACAATTTTTCATACAAATTAATGGTAAAAATGTGTAATAAATGCACTTTTAACTTAATGAGGATGCAAGGTTAAAAAATTATAAATAAATGCATATATTTTTTTTGCTACTAAACCCCCTTATTTGAAAACCACATTAGGCTTAACAAATCAAGAGTTAAGCAATGTCGAATCTTATAAGAAAGAAGCTCTTCCAGTGTTTGTCCTTCCAATGCTTGTCCTTCCATTAACAAGGCTCAAACTCGAAAGTTTTTTTAAAGCAAATTAAGCTCTTTTCACTTAAACCAGTAGATCATTGGTATAAATGCATATATTACTTAAGGTGTAAGTTAAAAAAACCCTAAAATAAATGGCTCTCTTACCTAATTCATAAATCTGACTGATGGGAATCAAGATGACCCCACATGTACCATGTCAAGAGATCCATTACACATTCCAAGAGGTCCAGTCACGAGAGCTAGAGCTAGGAAGCTACGAGAAGCTTTAAATGGCCTTATTGAGCAGATCTGGGTTGATAACAACATGCAACAAGAATTGAAGCTTAGATGATTATCAAAGCATGGTGAACACCATTCAGGTTCAAGAGAAGCTTAATTGAGGTCATTTATGCTAAACTACACAGTTTACGTCAAAATCCCGCAATTCTGTCGCAATTTATAACAAACTAATATTTCATGTTACTTTAGGTTACTTTTAGTGATTTTCACGTTTTTTATATTATTTTGGGCTGAACATTCATTTATTTGAGGCCCAATTCATGATTATTATGATTAGGGCTTAAGGTGTTATTTTGATTAGAATTATTTTTCCCTATTTAAAGGGCTTGTAACCCTGATTGGAGGAGCTATTGAATCTGAGCTTTTGAGAGACTTTTCTCTTTGGTTTATTTCAGAACTTTACAAAACTTATCAAGATTATTCTTGTGGCGTTCTAACCTGACTTATCATTCTGGTTCTTAATCGTTGGAGGGTGTGGCGTCAACCAACTTTATCCCTCTGGTTCTTGTTGCATCATAGACAACGAGTCGAGGTTTTTACCTTTGGTTCTTGTTGCAACATAAACAACGAGTCAAGATCCTATTATAAACCTGATTTAGCTTTCCTGGAGTTTAGAAATCCCTTGTCATGCTGTGGGTTTCATTGTTCTCTTTGGGGTACTCATCATCTTGGTATCAGAGC